AAAATTAAACAGATAAATGATTATTTCAACCTTCAGTCTTAAATTATGAATTTCTAGCCCTCAGTTCTGTGGCGAAACCTTCAAACTGTAACTAGTGCACCTCAAATAGCAGAAGGCAAATGGACATCAAATCTATCATTTACACATAATCTCCTTATTTTTGAACACTTGGCATTTGGCAATACTTTGAAAGTATCAACTGTCAATTTCACTCCTATTTAAAGTCAGTTCCTAGTCTATTATTTGCAGTGGAGTAACACTCCTATATTCCCAGGCAGGTGCAGTATAAACTCATAGGGCTTTCCCCTAGTAGGATGATTCTAAAATGTAAATTATCTACTTCAAACTTGTAAAAAAAAAGTTATAGCAAGTAATCTAGATATTTCTAGAATTGTTGTATTCAAAAGTTAGAAACAAAGTAAGAACATACTCTCAATATCTAAACCTAGCAAGTGTCTTTTAAGTCAAATGACTTGACACGATGTCAGAACATGCTCATATTAGAGCTGAGTGGGTTTAATATTTATTCTTCTTTCTTTATATGGGTATTAGGTACTTGAAGCCTCTGGGTTGTTGTTTTTTCCAAATACATTAGAAATTAGCTGATCTAATACCCATATATAGAAAGAAGAATAAATATTAAAAACTGTATCTAAGTAGCCCTTGGAATCAGTTCCTCGCTAACATCTGAAATGGAAGCCCTCGTTCAACTTATCCTTCCTATACCCTTCAATGCAGTAAAAAAAAAAAACCAGAAGATTAGTGTTACAAAATCCTGTTGCCTATAAACTATCCAAATATGGGGCTCCGTTGTTCTAGACATTGTACACCAGGCATGTCCAAAGTCTGGCCCGCGGGCCAATTGCGGCCCGTGTTCCGGTTTAATACGGCCCCCCAGGTAATTTGGCAATATCTATCTTTTATGGCCCCCAACAAATCCATATGTATTGAGATGAATACATTGTAAAATCTCAGTTAATGTCAGTTGGTCTAAATCAGTTATAAATATATTTGGACACAACATGTATACTTGGTGTTATGTTCCTGTTCATATTTTTTTTAACTTAAAAGTTGACAGACAACCTTTATTACCAATAATATGTAATGTACTTTACAATGTTCCTGACATATATTTCAGCTTCCTGGATTTTTTTTTTTTCATCTGGCCTTCAGATATGAAAGGCAGAGTGATTTAACACCTGTTTAGATTTGTCATCCATGTGACGAAATGAAAAGTATGCCGTTTGCAATAAACTTTGCATAAAATAGTTAATTTGCATTTAATTTTAATGGTTCAAAGAATGTCAGGCAAAATGGTCGGCCCTCATGCATGTTCACTTCATCAAATCTGGCCCTCTTTGAAAAAAGTTTGGACACCCCTGTTGTACACCATGGCTGAGTAAAATACGGCCCATTGGCCACATCCAGACTATTGGCACTCCAGGAAGGGACAAATATATATATTGAGCACAGTACCGTCTCTTCACTTTAAAGTTTGCCTGAGGCTGCACTGGGCCGGTAAGATTTAGTAAAGGATTGCCACTCAGGATATTTTCCATTCGAATCCTCTCTTCTTCAGCCTTTTGCTCTTGTTCCTGACAATGAGAAATAGATGCATGATTTATTAGGTTTTGGCCACATTTAAGATAATTTACAGAGGAAGAGGATTATTTAGCTAAAAACCTCCCACACATACATCTTCAGTGCCTAGCTCCATCATCCCTTCCAGCTGATTTAAAAAAAGTGCGTGCACATGTGTGGACGAACAGAGGAAAAGATGAGGCAGAAATTCTGAAAAGAATAAAATTGTTAATCTACCGTCATTAGCAAAGCTGAGCCCACTATTATTAAAAATGAGTGATCCTGTGGTGTCTTAGACTAACAATACACAGGATCATGAGCTTGTAATTTAATTCAATGCTATAGAACTGCTACATGGACTAAAACTGGGGCTGATATATGGATCAAGTGGTGTTTCTTTCAAAACTGCAAAATTTTCACTGATCAGGGACACTATGGAGACCCAGAACAGGCAATGTTTTTCTTGACAGTACAATTCAGAAGATTTTCAGCATTATAAACTCGACTGATGATAACCAGAGTTCTCAAGCTTTAAAGTGCTCAATCTTTGCAAAAGAACACATTAATAAGTTCTACCTACTTTACTTTTTCATGGACTTTTATAGAATACTCCCCACTTATTCATGAAAGAGGCCCAAGAGAGCTTAATAAATACAACAGCAAATCATTCTTATAAACATTAGGCAGTTCTAATGAAGAATTTGCAATATTTTGATACATTTTATTATGCACTTAAGATAAGCCTGTTTCATGCAGAGCATCAGTGGGGGGAGGGTTCCTAAAGCATTTTATTCAGGAAGTGCTTTTGGGAAACTGACGTTGTCAGCATATACAATGCTACTCACAGTTATGTATCTTGGGATCCACACTGGAACTACTATTAACCAAAAAAGAGCCACATGACTACTGTATGCTTTGTGTACCACCCAATCAAATATTCACAATGATATTTAATATGTAACTGATATTTAATATGTAACTATAAATAACTAAACACTCTACATTTTCAAATAGATTTTCAACAAAATGAAAACGAAGTTTAGCTAATTTACTTATTGAGCAAGGTATTCAGAATGTGGGAGGAAGGAGTTCTAGGCTGGGGCAGAAGGTGGAAGAGAGGGCTCCAGGCTGAAGTTGGGGATGAAAGGTTTGGGATGCAGAAGGGTGCTCCATTCTGGGACTAAGGAGTTTGGAGTTTAGGAGGGAGCTCAAGGCAGGAGACTGGGGTGGAGAAGAATGTTCAGGGCTGGGACAGGGAGTTGGGGTGTGGGGCACTTATCTCAGGCAGCTCCTGTTTGGTGGTGTAGCAAGGCTGAGGCAGGATCCCCGTCTGCCCTGGCCCTCACCACTCCTGGAAGCAGCCAGCAGCTAGTAAAGCCCCTGCATTAATCTGTCTCTGCTCCCTCCGTAATCCCTGTGAATCAGCTGTTCACGGTGCTCAGGGAGGGAAGGGGGAAGAACAGGGGCTCCCTCCAGGAAAGCCGCGATTCAGTTGTTTGGTGGACTATTGATGTGGAATGGGAAGCCCCTAAATATGCGGGGCTAGGACTGGACACAGGGAGGCAGCGGTCCATTCATAGGCGCTTGCAGTTTTTAAAGGAGAGGAGACTATAGCCTAGGACTGAATTTCTCCTCATGGTGCTCACTTCCTTAGCAGGGAAGCCACTTTTTCAGTGGGTGGCCTAAGGCCAGCAGTGGCTTCAATGGAGCCTTGCTACCAGGAAGCGAGGGATGACTGAATAAGACAATGGGAGCAAAGCCAGTGAAGAGGGCATGCAAGTAATTCGGGGTGGGAGAAAAGAGCAAACCCCTCTCCATGGAACAGTGTGATAGCACATTGATTCCTGGACTCCATATCCCTGACTTCTGCTTCTTCTTAAAATTAAAATGGCTAGTGTAGCCTGCCAAGCTATATCTGTCCTACCCTATCCTGTTTTTCTTGATATATTTTGATAGCATGCTAGTAATGCAAGGGGCCTACAGAGTTAAATTGTCTGCATCATTTAGCTTTAGCAGAAATATGGTAAGATTTATTTCTTGCTGTTATTTTTCAAGATATGTATTAAGTAAGAGCTTTTGTGGTTAGCTTAACAGGATTTGGAAGGCCATTACTTAATTCTGATCAGAACCAATAAACAGAATCTGTCAACTTCCACCAAATGATTTTTATTACTTCAACAAAAGTTGAAGTGCCAGATTTCCTGGACCTAACCGCAAGTTCCCGCTCTTTCTGGCTGTTCTGGGATTTGATCCAAAAAAAGTCACTTCTCTCTCATACATATTTATGGGCTACTCCCATATTCCTTCCAATCAGGTATAGGCACCCACAGAAATCTTAGGGTACCAAGCCCAACTTTAGGTAAAGGGTTGAACATGCAGGACATTTTGGCACCAAAAGGGTAATAAGGGCCCAGGAACTGGGGAAGTCGGGGTTGCTGCAGCCGTCGCTGACAGAGCACGCTCCAGGTGTAACTTATTTGCTCTTGAGGTCAGAAATACTTATCTCTATTCTATCTTTATATTTCTATTTTATTTCTTATATTTTGTTTAAGTCTTGCTTTCAGGTATTTTATTCTTCACCAGCTCTAAGGCCTTTCAGGCGAAGGGAGGCTGGTCCTTCCATGCCCAGCCTTGGGGAAAATAAGATCCTGTGGATATGAAATGCTACTAGATAATTAGTATCTGTATACTTAGATAAAGTTTTAATTTAATTTTGTTAATGCCATCTGGGGAAGAAACCTAGTTAATCTGTGTTCTTACTGCCTATTCTTTGTGGTCTTTGTAATCGTTATTCCCATGGCAATAAAATTGATTTTCATTGCATTTCCTGATTTTAAAAGTGTGACTGTTGATCGTCTGCAGACCCTCACGAGGGGGGATCTTATGGTTCTACCCACTTGCAACCTGGGATAGAGAGGATGAACTTAGAATCTCTGGTCAGACTGGCAAGCCTTGCCCACCTAAATTCTACTATAGCTCCTTCCCAGGCTACACAATTTTATCTTTTCCTGATCTTAGCAGGCTTTCCATTTAATCCATCCTGATGAATGACTGGAGAACACCTGGATGGAGAATATTTTTTTTGTTTTAAATTTACCCATCTACAGAGATGTATATCTTTATACTTTCCATCACAACGAAGCATCCTTAACTTGATCTTTCCGACAGGCTTTCCCATGACAGTAAGAGGGAGCCATATTTAATTACCTCAATTTATACTATATCAGAACATTCAAACTTTGTATATAAATCTGTATGGTTTTAATTATTACGCTAGTGGTATAAAAAAATCTCAAAATACTTTGAAGTCATCAATATTTACTTAAAAATGCCTACACAAGGATGTTTTCAGCCACAGGCTGAGACAGTAGCAAAGAACATCTTTTTTCACTAAAATATAATAAAAGTTTGTGATAAGATGTATCACCAGATACAATAATACTTACCATTTCTTAGGAGAAAACACTCATTTTAGGTCATTGTCTATACATGAATTATGACACACTGATTTACTCTCAAAAAGAGGATTACAGTGAGACGAGGAATATTAGTTAAAGACAGCAATAGCCAGATGAACATTGTGCTATCCACTTCACAGCTTCAAGTGCCCTCTTCTGGCACAATAAAAAAAATGTATCTCTAGAAATATAATTTCCACAGCCCCATTTTTGTACTACTAATGTTAAAAAAAGTTATTGTAACCGTGCAGCCTAAATTTTTAGAGCTATGTCTACACTACGGTATAAGACCAAATTAAGATATACAACTTCAGCTACGTTAATTGCGGAGCTGGAAGTCAAAGTACCTTAATGTGACTTTTGGCACTGTTCACACTACAAGAAGTTAGGAGAATACTCTCCCTTCAATTTCCCTTACTCCTTGTGGAAGCAAGACTACCAGTATCGACCGAAGTGCCCCTCTGTTCTAATTAGCATGTCTTCACCAGACCTGCTAATTGAAACCCTGGAAGATGGACAGCAGCAGTCTTGATCTTCTCTGTAGCGTAGACATACCCTTAGTGATTACACATTGGCTCCCCAGGAACAAGGCTGGTAGCTAGTGCACTCCCAACTGCCAGCTCCATTCACGGGGAGCCAGCTGCCAGCCCCGTGCTGCAAACTCTCATACAGAGGAGCTGATATGTGCCGGGAGGCAGTTTTTAAGTTGGCTCCTGCCTCGCTCCTAGGGAGCTGGCTGCTGTCCCATACTACTGCCTCTGGCACGGTGGGGTGGCAACCAGCTCCCTGGGAGGCAGCGTGTAACCATTTGGGTAACGGATCACAAACACAGAAGTCTCTTCATACTACTGCAAAAACAGATATACTGAACTTACTGTGTTTAAATAATTTTTAAAAGCAGGAAAATTGTGAAAGAAGGCTGCCACAGGTTGCTAAATAAGTCCCATTATGCCAAGTTACTAATGCAGAACAGAGTTTCAGAATACTAGGGATTATTACTAGGACCCTACCATTTACAGAGCAGTGAAAAAAAGTGTGTCCAGAACCATGAAATCATCCCTTCTCCCCGAAAATCTTTCTCCCCTGCTGCTAGTCCCTCGGCTCTGGGTAGGAACAGAACAGGGCTTGTTCTTCCACTGCACGGCCACTGCAGTAGCCCAGCCTCCTCTCCCCTCCACCCTGGCAACTTCTGCCACAGCTCCAGACACTAAGCTTTAGGCTCCCTCCCACAGCAGCTCTTGCTGGATTAGGGGCTTTGGTTCCCAGCAGCTGCAGCTGGGGCAGCCAGAACTCTGGGCCTCCGTGCCATCTCTAGATACCAAACTTGGGACTTCCTGCCTTGGCGGCTCCTCCTGGGATTAGGGGTTTGGCTGCAGCAAGGGATCAGGGCTTCTGCCCCCTGCTGCTCCAGTCAGGTTTGAGGCAACTGAGGCTTGGGGTAGCTGGAGTTCAGGACTTCCATGCACCCTTTCCCCACCGCCACCACTCCAGCCAGAGGTCAGGGCAGCTTAGGCTTTGAGCTTCCACCTTGCTCAGCTGCTCTAGCCAGGGTAAACCAAGCTAAAGGCCCCCACCACTCAGTGCTCCAGCTGGGGCTCAGTCAGTCCCTACTTGCCTCCACCTCCAGGAACCTCTTCTGACTGCAGGAGTCCAGCTCTGAAGGCAGCACTGAAATGAGGGTGATAATCTTTGGACCTCCCCAGAACAATTTTGCAACTCACCACCCTCATGATCCCATTTTGAAACATCTGAAATTGTGAAATTTACCCATTTTAAAACACTTTGGCTGTGAAATTGACCAGAATGGATCATGAATTTGGTAGGTCCCTAACCATTATATATGGTACATGCTGCAGTATCTAGGCAAAATTGTAAGCGAAAGACTCTTTCAATCTTGGAAGACTCAGCAGCAAGTATTTGGAATACCAGTAGCAGAATTACAGCTTCAAATCCAGCCAGGATTGTCTCAGCCCTTCAACTTCCCAGGATAAAAGCAACTACTAAATTTGGTTAATGGGGCTTGCAGGCCTTTCAGGGCTTGTCTTGACTTGGATTTAAAGGTATATTGTTAGAACATGCTAGCTAATGAGTTCTGAATGGCAACGAAGACTTTAACAGTGATGCCCAATCTTATAACACTGGATGGCCTCATCAACCTAAGTATGTACTCAGATTCTACATAAAACAGATTCTACATAAATTTAGTAAGATAAAATGTAAATCAATAGAGGTGACTTTATAAGTTCAACTTGTGTTGAATGTATATAGACAGACAGAACTGTACATAGAAATAACCTATTTACATCCCTGTGTAAACTTGAGTTAAAGCTTAGAAGGCAGCTTAAGCTTCAGCCTGTGCAAAGATAAGAACACGCTGGTTCAAACTGAAGTTTACAGCGCCTTGCTTATACCAGACCTTAAAAAGGTAGAACATTCTAACACCACACCTATAAATTCTGTTAAGCACGGGATTTGGGACAACATCGAAAACTTCGGGATAACTACGACCAATGGTACACAACTGAAAGGTGACATTGCAAATGAATAGGTGCAGTATTTAGGTTTTCTTGGAATTAGAAGCATCATAAGCTAACAGATTTGCATTTCTTATTTCCTCATTTATAATGCCCTACATAAGCTTGAAAAGAGTTTTCTGTGCTATCAACACTAGCAGCTAGATTCTCAGATGCATCCATCAAGAAGGAAGACCAGAAGGGAGTTTGCAGGTCCCCAATTCTGGCTGATTCTAAGTTGACTGGCATGGTAGAGTACCCCATTGGACAATACCCCCCCAGGAGATGTTTGGCAGACAGGGATTACCTCAGAATACACTGCACTTTAGACACTAAGGGATCCTGGTGAGGGTAGCAGAGAAACCAGCTATGTCAACTTTAAATTCAATTGAAACTGCATTGAGTGGCTTTATGAAAGTTGTGTTGCATTTGTGTTGGTCCCAGGGTACTAACAAGACAAGATGGGTGAGGTAATATCTTTTATTGGACCAAGTTTTATTACCTAAAATCTGTTATTTACAACACAAACTAAGAAACCATAGAATATACTCCAAAAAGGGAGTCAAGGATATTAAACGTAACACACTCAAAACTGTTAAACAAAAGGACAACTCCGCCACAGAAACAGATCACATCATGGAATGGGCCACCCAAATACCCCAAGAGAACCTGCTTCAAAACAGAAACATAACCCCTCCCCCGCCCCCCCACTGTTAACCAATATTTAACATCCTTAGGGATGAGTAACAGTGGGGGGGCGGGGGGGGGTTATGTTTCTGTTTTGAAGCAGGTTCTCTTGGGGTATTTGGGTGGGCCA